CTCTGTTTAACTTGTTAACACCCCTATGGCACTATAAGACCAGAGTTATGATCCACTCAACTACTGGTATTTATAGTAGATTTAAGATTAGTGGTATTGTTCATGTGATGTGTTTATAATTATAAACCAAACAACTTCAACTGCTGGTACTATTTTGATAATTATAAGCCACACAACTTCAGTTATTGGTACTATTTTTAGGAAAAATGACATTTGTGATGTAGTTGTGTACTTTTCAAGTCTCGTTGAGTTTAGAGATATGGTCTTGGTGTTTGGCATCCAGGTACTTGTAAGTATAATGAACAAGGTTTTAGCTTCTTTCTATTTTTTCCTTTATACCCTTGACTATTATCCAACTTCCACCTCATTGCCAACTAATGATCTCCTAGGAACATGAGAAATCTTAATTTTTGCTCCAGATTTGAGAACAACTGAGTCGGATGGTTCTCCATGAACTCCATAAAACACGATCAAAGATCTAATAGAAGCTCATGACCTCATGTGATAATATCATTAAATAGTTCATAATTTTAGATATGACAGTACTTGCTTAGGTATAGTCTCTAAATTCAAGCCTTGCACAAAGAATGCTAAGCTGCCTACCGAATATTGCATAAAATTCATTTCTTCGCTTGGAAATCAAAACATTCCCTAACGGATCAAAGTTCAACATTCCCCAAATCCTTCCGCATATTTAAAGTACCTAACCAATTATTCAACAAACAATCTCAGTATCAATCACTATCATAACTTTTCCATGCCACTCCCTTAAGAGAAACCAAATGTATATCCACGCAGCGCTGATTTGGATATCTTCCACCTCCAGGCATTATATAAATATATAAGTGACATGGAACATGCCATTCATCTTCAGTGATTTTTCTTATCCAAGGATTAAAGATACATTGGTTGTAAGTGATCAACTCTTGAATCTAGCAATGAAAGAATGGAAAGGAAAAAAAGGTAATATGTAGCCAACTCCAAATTTATTGGACTGAAGTCTTTGTTTGTCTTATGTAGATTAGGGAAATGAGTAAAAGACAATACTTGAATTGACAAAAATTATGTATAATAATACAAAAGCTTCAACTACCAAATGTTGAGTATTCTAAGTTCATAAATTCAAGCAACACTAAATCAATAGCAACAAACAAATTTTATATAGCAAACTGGGTAAACTATACATGCTATACCTTAATTCAAATTAAACAAAACAAAAGTCAAAAGGCTAAAAAAATGATTAGGTGGTATATCAATCCAATCCATTTCCACACAAAAGAAATCCATTTCATTACATACACAAAGGGAAACGAGATGCAGAGAGAAAAGAGGAAAGAAAGAATGAAAAATTTTGAAAAAAAAAAGGAAAAAGGAAAAAGAAGAAAAATAGGAAAGTTTGACAACATTGTTAGGAAATAAGTACTTTTTACTATTAAGCTTGAATTCTTCTATTCAAAAGTGAGTAAAAAGTTACTCATTGGAAAGTTATGTTAAATTTTAGGGTTGTCCAATTATTAGATTAAATTAAATTTTATCCAAGGAAAATTATTGAATTAACTATAATACGCTATGTAATTAAATTAAATGAAAGAAAAATTAGCTTAAGTGATCAAAGAAACTTTAGAAATCTCTTAAACATGAAAAGATTAAGTTTTGGTAATATCCATGTAATTGTTAGAATTTCTTAAAATAGTTAGTTATTAATCTAAAAAATTATATATATTTTAGGCAACGATACAGATATCGGGATAGCCTACCAACTGATTTGATTTTGAGTACATAATTAAGTGAGTGGAAAAACTTAAATATTTTCAAGTATTGATAAATTAATTATACTATTACGCTGTGTGCAATTATGTGTTCGATTATATGATTTTTATGAAAAATTCCTTTACTAGGATACATTGGAACTTTGAAGATTTTATATGGTACATTTGTGATTTGGTATGTGAGACATGTGATATTGAGATTGACAAAAAAAGTACCCATGATTATATGATTCTTATAGTTTACTGAAGGGCCTTGACCGTGTTCTTTGCTACACTGAAGGGTTTTGACTGGGGATAGAAAAGGTCTTGATCATGTATATATAATTCATTGAGGGGCCTTGATCGTGTTCTAAAATTGATAATAAGTGATTTTTAAGACCCGCTTCCATTCACTGAGGGAGCCAAAGGCCCGTATCGGGAATGATTAGCCCGAAGGACACCGTATGCGCGTATGACCAGATTAAGATTTTAGTCAAAGTGTACATTTTTGGTGGATTTTCAAGTATGTTTGATGTGACATGATGATTGTATAGATTTCAGTTGATGATTATATTATGATGATGAGATGATATTTTTTAGTATTATGATGTGTCTTGCATCTTGATTATCATTCTTATTATTATATGTTATACTGTGAACTGTTAAATGATGTAAACTTGATTTTCGATAAAAATGTATAAATGAGAAAGTATAATTATTTTTGAACTTCTCCATTCACTGAGCTGTCAACACACATATTTTTCTACAATTTTTCTTATCGAGTAGTAGTTGAGTTTTTGGGCAACTTTTGGAGTTGAGCCTTTGATTTTGGAGTTATAGCCACACAATAGAGTTTGCCAGTATAACTCATTTCATAGAGCATGTAGTCAGTGTTTTAGGGCACATGTTCATTTTTTGAATGTGATTTTGCATCACTTGTAGATAGTTATGGGACTCACTGTGTATTTTACATCCATATGTACACTCAATGTTATTTTTAAGGTGAAAGCTGAAATTTCAACTTATTTATATTGTTTTGTGTTATATTTTGGGATTTGGCATAGTGAATTACAGGTTGGTTAGTCCTATTTAGTTCATAGGTTGGTTAGTCCTATTTATAGGGGAGATAATGCCAAAACTCTGTTAAAAATAATTTATAAAAAATTGTATATTGTAGTGGCCTTGATGGTGGATCCAATTTTTAGTTCGTATTTATCATCGGCACGCGATACGTTTCTAGTCCAGTAGCGTTACACGGAGTGGGCGTGTTGTTTGGTGTCACTGCAGGCTTTTAGAGTCCATAGGCTTGAATATTATGATGTTTAGCAGATCATCCTCTCAACTGTAGGTGAGTCATGCCTCGTGGTGGCAAAACTCAAAGACTCTAAGGTATGTTGTCCCAGTCTCACATTGCTCTTGATAGAGATGAACTTAGAGAGTTTGAGAGAATTGATGTATCGGTTCACCAACCTCCTAAACAATAATGACAGGGAAATGTGATTGGAAATGATCCTATGGATGTTTAAAGGATTGCTACTACTGTTGCTATGTGTAATACAAACGTGGATTTTAGTATTGAGAAAACTACAAAATTATGGGATAATGTTTTCATAGGCACAGTCGATCCTGTAGTTAATTAGGCATGGATGATCAAGATAGAAAAGGTATTTGATATTATGGGTTGCTCAGATGATCGAAAGTTGAGTCTTGCCCTTTTTTGTTAGACGAAGGTATATATGATTGGTGGCAGTCAATACAGGTACATATTGAGACCTTTCTATTATCACTTGGACAGATTGTAGATGTAATTTTTATGATGCTTATTATCCTCGTTCATATATAGATGCTAAGAAGGATAAATTTTTGAAGTTATTATAAGGGCAGATGACTGTTGCAGAACATCAAGTGAAATTCATTGAACTTTCAAACTGTGCTCATGTTTTGATTAACAATGAAATTGATAAATGCAGACGGTTTGATAATAGGTTAAGAGAAAAGATCGGGTTAGTAGTGACAGCCATATGTTGGAATGAATTTGGTAAATTGTTGGAATCACCTTTGAGAGTAGAAAAGAGCATCTCTAATAAACTAATTGATAGAGAACAAACAATGTTCAAAATAAGCAGTAGTAAAACATTGGTGGATACTTCTAACTATAGACCACTACAGAGGGATAGTAGAGTTCAGGTCATTTCAAGCCCAGATCACGAAGAAGTTAAGGTCTTAGATTCAGTCACAATACTGTCCAGTAGCTATTGGCCAGCTGTACTCATACTCAGGGTTCTTCCCAAATATTACTTACTCCTAGATAGGGTGAAAGTTCTACTAGTACTAGATTTCGTTATTGTCAGTTATATGTAAGTCCTTATCTTAGTACATATTTAAAGTTCAATGGGGGTGGCGTGTGTTATCATTGCTGCCTAGACAAGCACATTATAAGAAATTGTCCATAGGAGAGTGGCATCTCATAGAGGATGCTTCCTCAGTAGAGTGTTGGTAGTACAAGACAGAATTAGTTTCAGAGAGATGCTTCGGCTAATAGAGCAGGTACTAACAGTGCGGTCCAATCTAATATTACAAGTGGTAGTGGTACTAAATCAAAAGGTCAATCAGGACGATCGAAGACCTAGGAAAAGGTTTTTGCTATGACTCAGTAGGCCGGTGAATTACTATTAGCAGATAGTGTATATCGAGATTGTGGGATTAAGGTAAATGAGCATGAACTGAAGGCGAATTTGATATCTCTTAGCATATATGATTTCGATGTTATTTTGGGTATGGACTTTTTAGCTACAAATCGAGCTTCAGTTGATTATTTTCGAAAGGAGGTCGTCTTTAGACAACTAGAAAGACCTAGAATTATATTCAATGGACAGCGTAGAATTTTACCATCGTATGTGGTATCCGCTATTGATGCTAGAATATTACTCAGTAAGGGTTGTCATGCTATTTAGGTCATGTGATTGATACGGATGCTAGCAAAATAAAACTCGAAGACATCCTAATGGTCAGAGACTTTCTTGATGTATTTCCAGAAGAACTATTGGTTTTACCATCAGACAAGGATATCGAGTTCATCGTAGATTTGATCCTAGGAAATGCACCTATTTCACGGGCACCATATAGAATTGCCCAATAGAATTGAAAGGACTAAAAATTCAATTGCAAGAGTTGGTAGACAAGGGCTTTATCAAACCTAGTGTATCTCTGTGAGAAACACCAATCCTATTTATGAAAAAGAAATGTAGCACCATGCAATTGTGCATAGATTATAGACAGTTGAACAAAACGAAAATTTGCAATAAATATCCCTTACCACGTATTGATGACCTGTTTGATCAACTTCACGGTGCTACAGTATTTTTAAAGATTGATTTGCTTTCTGGATATCATCAACTTAAAATCAGGGATAGTGATGTGCTGAACACTGCTTTCAAGACAAGGTATGGCCATTTGGATTGACAAACATATCAGCAACATTTATGGATATGATACATAGAGTGTTTCACCCGTATTTGCTAGATTTGTGATTGTATTCATTGATGATATTTTAGTGTACTCTCAAGATCATGATGAGCACATAGAGCATCTCAAAATCATTTTCCAAACTTTACACGATAAGTAGTTGAATGCTAAATTCAGCAAATGTGAATTTTAGCTTGATAGAGTGGTATTTTTAGGACATGTCATATCAACAGAAGGAACATATATCGACCAGCAGAAAACTAAAGCAATGGTGAAATGGGAAAAGCCTACTAATGTGATAAGAATACGAAGTTTTCTTGGCTTTGTAGGTTATTATCATCATTTTGTAGAGAAATTTTCTAAAATTGCTCTTTTTTGACTGTTTGACTAGGAAGAATGCTAAATTTGCTTGGAATGAAGAATGTAAAAAATGTTTACTAAAATTGAAGAATCGATTAGTTTCAGCCCCAGTTCTAATCCTTCTGTCTCCAGTGAAGAGTTTGTAATATATAGAGATGCTTCACATCAAGGTCTAGGTTGTGTTTTAATGTAGAATGGGAAGGGTATAGCATTTGCTTCCAGATAGTTGAAGAAACATGAATTGAGTTATCCTACACATGACTTAGAGCTAGTTACAGTTGTTCTAGCCTTGAAGATTTGGAGACAATACTTTTATGACGAGAGATGTCAGATATATACAAATCATAAAAGCTCAAAGTATATTTTCAATCCAAAAGAGTTGAAGCTGAGGCAAAGAAGATGTATAAAGTAGATAAAAGATTATGACTGTAAGATTGTATATCATTCAAGGAAGCCAGCGTAGTTGTTAATGCTCTCAGCAAAAAGGCATCTAGTTCTATGAACCAGACTAATGCAGTATGTTTTTTCTTGTTTGGTGAGTTCAGATTTTCAATCCAATTGTTAGTTAACAGTGTAGGAGCACTGTTTGCCAAATTTCAAATGAGGCTTACTTTAATTGACACGGTTAGAATAGCTCAAATTCAAGATCTAGTGTTGAGAAAATTGAAAGAAGATGTTAGTAAGGGTGAGCATGCAGATTATACTATTTGAGATGACGATGGAGCTTTAGTTTTAGGAAATAGATTATGTGTTCTAGACGATTTGAAATTAAAGAGAGAGATTCTAGAAGACGCACATAGTTCAGTTTACGTGATGCATCCATGCACTACTAAAATGTATCGTGTACTTAGAGAACTATTGGTAAAATGGAATGAAGAGAAAAGCAGCTAGGTTTGTATCCATATGTCTCATTTGCCAGTAGGTGAAACCGGATCGTCAGAAACCAGCGAAATTGTTACAAACATTGTCTATTCCTAAGTGAAAATGGGATCACATTACTATGGAGTTCTTATTTGGACTTTCACTTACTCAAAGTTATAATGATGGCATATGGTCATTATAGACAGATTCACGAAAATTACTAGATTCTTGCCTATAAAAGTCACTTACATTGGCAAAAATATATGTTGATGAGTTATTCAGTTTATATGGAGCACAAGTATCTACTGTTTCAGCAAGAGATTTTTATTTCACTTCTAAATTTTGGCCTAGTTTGTAAAAAGCTATGGGTACTAAATTTATTTCAGTAGAACTTTTCATTCGCAGACAAATGGTCAGTCAGAAAGAACTATATAGAATTTGGAAGACATGTTACGAGCTTGTGTACTACAGTTCAAAGGGAATTAGGATATTTATCTTCCCTTAATGGAGTTTGCTATCACTCAAGCATAGGAATGGCTCCTTTTTAAGCATTATAAGATAGGAAATGCAAAGCTCCAGTTGTTGAGGTGAAGTGGGCAAAATGAAGTTACTAAGTCTTGAATATTTATAGATTGCTGTAGAGAAAGAAAAGATAATTAAACAAAAGTTAAAGACAGCTCAAGATAGATAGAAGAACTACGCAAATAGACTAGAAGAAACCTTGAATTTAATGTTGAGGATAGAGTTTTTCTACGATTATCACCATGAGAAGGTGTTATCAGGTTTGGTAAACAAGGAAATTTGAGTTCGAGATATATTGCCCATATGAAATTGTTGAACGCATTGGTCCAGTTGCTTATCGATTGGGTTAGCCAACAGAATTGACTAGAATCCACAACATGTTTTATATTTCCATTCTTCATAAGGATATTCTAAATCTGTCTCATGTTTTAGAATCATAGCCAGTATATTGGACAAAAAGGAACATGTCTTATGAAAAAATCATGCTATAGAAGAACCAATATAGGAAAGTGAAGAGCAGATGGGTTCTCAGTATCCTCGATTTTTTTCCACATAACAAGTTGAATTTTGAGGAAAATAGTATTTTAAAGGGGTGAGTTTTTTAATACCTTAGATCTAAAATAATAATAAAACAAAAACAAAACAAAAGGCAAAAGGTAAAAAAACGGAAAAGAAATAAATTAGAAATGCTTAGGCGGTGGATTGGATTGATACAATCCATTTCCACGCAAACAAAATCCATTTCATTACACACACACAGAGGGAAAAACGACATACAGAGAGAAAAGGGGGGAAAAAAGAGGAAAGAAAGAAGGGGAAAAAAATAGGAAAGATCGCCAACATTGTTAAGAAAAAAGTACTTTCTACTATTAAACTTGAATTTTTCAATTCAAAGGTGAGTAAAAAGTTACTTATTAGGAAATTATGTTAAATTTAAGGGTGTCAAATTAATAGTTTAAATTCAATTTTGTCGAAGGAAAATTATTGAACTAAGTATAATAAGCTATGTAATTAAGTTAAATGAAAGAAAAATTAGCTTAATTGATTAAATGAACTTTAGAAATCAGTTAAACAAGAAAAGATTAAATTCTGGTATCATCCATGTAATTGTTAGAATTTCTTTAAATGGCTAATTGTTAATCTAAACAATTATATCATATTTCGGGCAACGATACGGATATCAGGACAACCTACAAACTGAGCTGGTTTTGCGTACATAATTAAATGAGTGAAAAAATTTAAATATTTTCAAGTATTGATAAATTAATTATAATATACATCATGTGCAATTATGTGTTCAATTACATGATTATTATGGAAAATTCTTTTACTATGATACATGTGGAACTTTAAAGATTGTATGAGACATGTGATATTGAGATCGATCAAAAACGTACCCATGATTATATATTTATTCTAGTTCACTAAAGGGCCTTGACCATGTTCTATATTACATTGAGGAGTCTTGACTAGGGATAAAGGGGTCTTGACCGTGTACATATAGTTTACTGAGGGGCATTGGCCATGTTCTAGAATTGATTATGAGATGTCTTTGAGAATTGTTTCCATTCATTGAGGAGGCCTAAGGCCCATGTTGAGAGTGATTAGCCCGAGGCGCAGTCTATTTCCGTATGACCAGAGTACAATTTTTAGTTACAGGGTACATTTTTGGCGGATTTTCGAGTACACTTGATGTGATGGGACAATTATATGAATTTCAGCTGATGATTATATCGTGATGATGAGATGATATATTCCAGTATTAAGAGGTGTCTCGCATCTTGATTATTATTATTATTATTATTATTATTATTATTATTATTATTATTATTATTATTATTATTATTATTATTATTATACTATGAACTATTAAATGATGCAAATTCAATTTTCGTTAAAAATGTATAAATCAGAAAGTATAATTATTTTCAAAGTTCTCCACTTACTGAGCTATCAACTCTTATAGTTTTTCACGATTTTTTTTTATCAGATAGCAGTTGAGTTTCTGGGTATCTTCTGAAGTTGAACCTTTGATTTCGGAGTCAGAGCCACGCAATAAAGTTTGCTAGCATGACTCATTTCATGGAGCATGTAATCAATGTTTCAGGATATATGTTCATTTTTTGGAGTGATTTTTGCATCAGTAGTTGTAGGTAGTTTGGGGCTCATTGTGTATTTTGTATCCATCTGTACACTTCATGTTATTTTCATAGTAAAAGTTGAAATTTTGGCTTATTTCTATGGTGTTGTGTTATATTTTGGAATTTGTGCGTAGTAAATTACAAGTTGGTTAGTCTTATTTACAAGTGAGATAATGTCGAAGTTTGTTAAAAATAATTTATAAAAAAGTTTCATATTGTAGTAGCCATCATAGTGGGTCCAACTTTTAGTTGGTATCTATTATCGGTGCATGTTACGTTCTGGTCTAGTAGCGTTACACGGAGCAAGCGCGTCAATATTAGTAAAACTAAATAAAAGATAATAGAGGAAGTACAAAACGTGAATGTGATACAACAATCAGAAAAAATAATGAAAATGGATAAAGCTACAATGTTATATTAATCAAGATGTTGAAGTAAGACTGAAGTGGATGACATAGATAGTGAGTCAAAGAGGAAAATCGAAACAGACCACCTATAATTCTCTAAAATATTTTCCTTGTCAATTCAATTTTATATTGATCCAGACCAATACAAAAATATCAATTTTCTTGTTATTTGAATACAAATTAAATTTGCTATGTACTCTCTAATACAGAACATATTGCTGGCCAATCTTCATTATCAACCAAACTCATTCTAGATATACAAATTTATATCTATCTCAATGATGACTAAGACTTCATTTACTCAAAAACATAAAACAAAGATGTTGCTGCCCCCACGGGTATGGTGCAGTGGTAAAGAAAGAGGGTTCTCTACGGAGCATCAGAGTTTCGAATCCCCACCGTAGTTGAAAAGCAACATTTATGTTGGAAGGTAGATGTTTTGTGGAGACAAAGTTATGATGCACTTTGTTGTCCTCTGGGGATCCTATGCGCACATCGTAAAGGGAGGTCCACAGGGATGAAATTGCACCTTGAATGTTCAGTCCAATATGCATAGCGAACCGAGGGGAGGGCCGCCACTTCTCAAGATTAGTCGGGTGAAGTTTGAACACTTGAGTCATAAAAAACAAACATTTTAACTAGATAAGAAAATGTCACACAAGGACTACAGACTAGCATTATGGACACAGCTTTACACTAAGAACTAACTTACACAATTGTTCTCCAAAACAATGGAAAAAGAGTATGTGTGTGTGTGTATCAACTCTTGGAAGTTGGGATGAAGCTATAGAATTAAAAAAGAACCACACAATCCATTGAGAAGACAATTCAGTGCATATATGTGAAGAGTGAAGTAGTTTTTTTATCAATACAACAAAGTCATATGTTTATGAATTTGCATTCATGGAAACCCGAACTATGCATTGGTAGGGCGGCATTTGAGACATAAATCAACACTTTAATATACATTTATTGCTATTGTTGAAACTCTGAAGGGGACCTAACAAAAAATATTATTGTACAGTGCTAAGTATCAAACAATTCCTATTTCCATGGATAAGTAGCTGTTTATATAATTCAAGTTCATCACCAAATGGTAGTTTCCTATCCATGATAGGGTTTGCAATTAGTTCTTTTCATCTCCCCTTTAAGATTCTTCAAATTTTATCATTTATGTTTCTATCTGGGGTGAAACTAATAATGTATGACCATGTTATTTTCCTTCTTGTTGGTGTAGTTGGAAGTGGCGGCTCTCAAAGATCTATGTTAGTTCAACCCATAGATTTTCTCTAAGGATTTCTGAGGTATTGGATTTATTGTACCTCTAGTTTGAAATGGGAGAAAAACTCGAAGAAAGTTAATAAGTTTTTGGAGCATATTGTAACTATTATGCCCTAAGTCCAATAAACTTTAGACATAAGCACTTTTTTAATATATAATTGATGCAATTTCATGGAAGATCTATTATTTAATTAATATTCAATAAAGCTAAATAATAGAGTTCGTAGATTCAAATCTTAGTAATTTGTTATTCACAAAGAGTTGTGATTGTAAGATATAAATTAAATATGATTGAATCTTTAATCATTCGTGGTAGTAAGTAATGATGAGATATGTATATCATTATTATGGATAGACCATTACATATGACATTTCTTACTTGTGAAGAAAGTAGCTGTTTTTACAAGCTAAAGTATGGTGACACTTAAATGAACACATGGATGTTTTATTATAGAACGAAGTATTGGATACCCACCGGGAGGTTCCACATGGATAACTATTTGAGTGTCGGTGTTTAATCTCTAATGTTCAATAGCGGAATTGGTCATTTGACTTGAGGTCATCATAATGCCTTATACTAGGGTGATGTAGGATGTTGCTCCACCAAGGGTCGATAATACGACATTGTTCTGATATATCAAGAATCATATGAAGGTCGTGAATGATCAATAGAGAATTTGTCACTCTTATATATTGTGAAATTATGATCTACAGTTATTCAATTAAATTGATAATGTAATCATTGACCAAGGTGTACTCATAAGTCGAAAGAAAGTATTCGACTTATATTGACTTAATAGTGGTATGAAAGATATGATCTACAATTGAGATTCACACATAACCATATCTCGTAATTGATCAGATCATATTGATGAGGGTATTATAGTTTCACGGTAAACGAACAAGTTTGATTTTGTCATACTACGTGACATTATCCGTCACTGTATTGCCCTAACACATTGTTAGATGTCAATCTGTAACGACAAATATGAATTGTTGATAAATTAAAAAGGGATAATTTAATTTATTAATTTTGATTAGATTAAAATAATAATAATTCATGTCATTAGGGATTGTGATTGGAAACCTTATGGGTCACACACAAAAAGAGAACTAAAAGAATGAGATTTACCAATAAATTAATTGTGTGTTGGATAATTAATTAATTGAGTTGTTTATTAATAGGCCCGAACTATTTAATTGTATTAATTAATTCATGGGTTAGATTTAATTAATTTGATTAATTAAATATTGGACTGGGTTAAGTTTAAGAGACGGGTCAAGCTTGTTTGGACTTATATAGATAAGATACTAGAGTTTAAAAGCCGTAGAGAGAAATTTCATATTTTTGTTAGCATGAGAAAAGTAAAAAACCATAGTTCTCTTAATTTTGTTCCCTGTGTGAATTTCTCATTAGAGGCTATATAATTGGATAGGTTTGAATTGTAGATCGTGATTATTGGAATTAAAGAAAAGCAAAAAGTTTGCATAATTCAACAGAAGTATAATTTCTATCACAATTTCTCACTAAATACAAAGCAGATTCTTGGTGAGAATTGAAATATTGTTTAAATTTTGTTGTGTATGATTAAGTAAATTCTCAACACTCGTATCAGAGTCAACTTTGTGTTTGTTAAAAATTGTATTGAATATTTGGGAACAATCAAAAGTTGATTGTTCATTTATTTTCTTGTTTCTGGCTTTGAAGAAATTAATTTTATTTTCTACAATCTATTTAAGTAAAGGAAATATATTTGTGATAAAAAATTGGATCAAAAGGTGGAGTGGCCAACAGCAACCACCGCCGTCAACACTAGCGGCACTAACGAGAGCAACACTTTGCGACGACAGTAATAGTGCTGCCGTGCTCGAAGCTGCGTTCGACAGTGCATAGTGACGTTGGACGCCACTAACTGTTGATTGCGACAGCGTGTGACGCTGTTGTTGCACGATGCTTATGCAGCAGCGGAAACGTGTGGTGGCACCTCCTAAAATTCCAATTTTTTAGGGTTTTCTGTTTGAAGGGTGGATTGGGATGGGGCCTCTCTTACGATATGTGAAAGTCTGCAATTATGAAACGGGGTCAATGTGAAAATTTTAAATTGTTGGCATTTATGAGATTTTTGAAATTTTGTGGGCTCTGTTAATAATTTCATAATGGGTCAGTTTGCAATTTTCAAAATGAGTTTTGAATTTAAATATTAAAATGGTTTTAAATTTGTTTCTAAATGGGTTTTGACCAAATTACCAATTTGACCAGAATTTTAATTTTGACTCAAATTAAAATTTCATTTTAAGTTGACGACTTTATATTTTCATTAAAATAAGATTTTAACTTAAGTATTAAACTTTCACCCTAAATTGAATTTTTTATTTTATTTTATTTGGGAGTTTTATCCTAAATTAAAATCTTAATTCAATTTAAATTAGAGTTAGACTCTAATTTAGTATTGAATTAAAATTTGACTTTAATTATATAATTCACTCTAACGTGTTCTTGATATTAGAATTGGATTCTAATTTGACATTTAATTAAAATTTGATTTTAATTAAATTGTCTCGGATTCAATTTTTTCTTGAATTAGAATTGGACTCTAATTTGGTATTTAATTAAATTTTGATTTTGATTAAATAAATTCACCCTAAATCTTGGGATTAGAGTTGTAATCTAATTTTATTATTTAATTAAAAATTGATTTTGATTAAATTCAAATGCCTTAAGTTTTGAAATTAGAGTTGGACTTTGATTCGATATTTAATTAAAAATTGATTTTAATTAAATATTTTCGCTCTAAAATTGTGGATTAGAGTTAGACTTTAATTTGGTAAATCCACTAATTATTAATTTGATTAATTAATTATTCATTTGTCTAAATTAGTTTAGACAATCTTAATTGCTAGACACTTGAAATATACATGCATATAATATTAGATATTATATAGGAAAGCCTCTATATGATGAATGTTCATTAATGAATGATTATGGAATCGACCACGTGGATGTGTTGAATGGTTAGTTTTATTCTTATTGTTTTATGGACATGCGAGCTCTTTTTTATTTTGGATATGTGAATCCGTTGTAATTATTATTGTCCTGCGTGTAAAATTTTTTAAGCTTGCATGCCAACTAGTATAGGATACAAGTTGTAGCTAGACTAATTAAAAAAATAAGAAGAGGAGAAGACCATAGA